GCTAAACTCTGCATGTTATAATTTCACTCTGTAGGAAGAGGAATCACCAGCACTCAGTAGAATAATCCATCATGTCCATTTATTGGACATAAACATCACACAATCACAAGAGCCAATGTTTTGAGACCACGCAGGGTCTCTTCATCAGGGCATGCCATGGGCATGCCCTGATGAAGAGACCCTGCATGGTCTTGAAACGTTGGCTCTTGTGATTGTGTGACGTTTATGTCCAATAAATGGACATGATGGATTATTCTACTGAGTGCTGGTGATTCCTCTTCCTACATTGTGTCTGCACGGTGCCATCCGTGTTTATCACTACAAGCACCATTGTCTATGTAGGCCTGGATTGCTGCAAGGTGTGCGGAGGATTTCCCCTTTTTTATTGAATGATTCCGGGTTTCCTTAACAATTTTGTCCGTTGTCTTTCTTCCCTTTCAGGCACCTGGGTGACCTTTGGATCTCAGATCACAGATGAGGTAAGGAGATAGGATAGCTGGTAGTGATCAGGGTGGTACAGTAGCAGCCAGCACGGGACATATGGTGTGATGGAAGACTGCTGAAACATCTAATCCGGTCCATTTATCTTCCACCAGATGGCAGAAAATCTAATGACAGTTGCCTACGAACATGGGGTCAATCTGTTCGATACTGCGGAGGTGTATGCAGCAGGGAGGTAAGGTGTGAGCCCTGGAGCACAACACCTGGTACATGGGAGGAAGAATTGATTTCTGAGATATTGGTATACTAAACAGAACAGAACAAGTTGTTCCATTCTTGTAGCAAGTTGAATAAAAAAAGTAAAGCTCAGGTTTCCAAAGATTAGGATTTAAAGCCCAATTAGTGTGCCGTGGGGTAGACATTGTACCAACAACCTGCATTTCATAGCCTTACCTTCACTTTGCTATTATACCATTGGGCAGTTTATGTAAATATGAAAGTCCAATAGCACCAGAATTGGACCAGACTGCCCAGTGTACTCAATAAACCAACATACCACTATAAGTCTGTTTAGCGATAACTCCCCGCAGGGAGCCGCTCTTTGCCCGGTCCACATCTAGTCGGTCTAGGGGTTGATTTCCATCTGCGCCCATTAGCACTAACCGCCCTCTCCTGGTGCCCATAAATTGATGTCGACTTCAGTAGTATGATGCTAATTGAACGTTTTATTGAACATCTTCTGTGGGAGAGAGGGTATAGGGGTTCTAGGTGTCTAGGGGTAACCATCAGAAGCTCGAGACTCACCGGATCTTGTTAAAGTAGCCATGCAGCTCCACAATCCAAGAAAGAAACACTGACCATGCTCTGAGATCCACATAGATCCAGGGCACTTCAAGAGCCTGTACTGGTCCTGGTTCTTTTATTCTCTCCATCTCTCAGGCCTCCTCCATGTTGGAGGCCTCAGGGAAACATCTTCCCTCACTTCAGCCTATGCCCACCCCCAGGCCTCAGCCTAGCCTGGGGGGCAGGCTGAACAGGACCCAGTGCTAATCCATGACTGGTCCAGGCGAGAGAGAGAGAGAGAGAGCACATGGCAGCTCCCACCAATATATGTACACTCTCCCAGCATGCACCACTGGCTGAGAGAAGCCCAGGAATTGGCTGCTGTACTGTACACATATTACAGTGTCTCCTATTGGCTGTCCCACAATATGACAGAGTCTTACTCCGCCCGGGGGGGTACAGACAAGGTTAGACACCTGGGATTAACCATGTAATTGCTACTAAAAATCCAGCCAGGCTGTCTACAGCCCTGGCTGTCACTAAATGCGTAGTAGCCAAGTCACAAAAGGTGATGGGCGCTACATCTGCATAGAGTTGTGTGTGAAGAGGGTGCGGCCATTACTCAGCTGTGCCAGCATAGACCACTGGAGTGGGAGCACTGGAAGTACATATCTATGAAGTGTAAAGAGCACATTATTGCATTTTCAAGTGAAAATCAGTTAAAGGGTTTCTAAATCCTCCGTTTTTTTCCCCCTATATATATAAGGCTAGCAAGCAGTAGATATATGCAAAAAAAAAAAAAAACAGTTTAAACTTACCCGTCTTAGCCGCGCGCTCCCGTCCGAAAATGCTCGGGCGGCCGCAAAGTATCTTGGGGCGGGCGCAGTTCGGATTTTCGGCCGGGAGACGAGGCGAGACGCAAGGTAAGTCTATGGAGGCGTGCCGCAGCGCTGGAGGGTCAGATGTAAAGGACAGGAAAGAAGAAGAAGATCGGATTAAGAGACATCATTTAAGGTAAGTGCTTTCATTAAGATTGGGGGGAGGGAAAAAAGTTTTTGCCTTTAATGTCACTTTAAGCGTCATAACATATAGTGCTATGCAGGGCTGTCCCTACTCTAACTGCCACCTGAGGCTGTAGAGTGTGGG